TTCAGTATTTCACAATTTTGCAACAGAAATTGCACTCATTCAATATTCAGGACGATCGAAGCACGCGTGGCCTTTTAGCTAAACCGTTAAAAAAATTTCCAAAATCACATATACAGCCAGCCGGTTCTCACTTTTGCAGTGCGAGCTGTAGCGAATGTTTGAACGAACATACTAGAGTTAAGCTCCAACATAATAAAGAAATTATTATGTTTATTTTTTATTTAATGGTTTTATCGATCTGTAATCTTTAAAAGCGTTTGATACGCGCGGCATTTTGAGTACTCCTGCAAGCGATGTTTATGAACGCCTGAAAACAAACGGCAAAGCGATGAAAATTACAAGAGAGACTACCAACAATCAATAAAGGAAATATAATTCGCCGAAACATATACAGAGACAACATTTTTCATTCACGAAGACAAATATTAAAGTGTCTCTAAAAATCCTGAGTCTTCAAGCTTAAAAACCGGCTTCCCGGTATTTACTTTTTTCACAGATGAACAGATGAACTCGAGGCAAGAAAATCGCTCGAAGCTTTCTTTTACGACAGAATTATAACTAAATGTTCTTTGGAACGTTTTCTTTCTATCTGCGGTGAGAAAATGTCTAAAGACTTTTTAAAGTTGTGTAAGCTTATATCAAGTTTACCTGATTCTTGGTCAGATCAAATTGTCTCAAATCTTACAAACGTGCATAAACTACATAGCCGCATAAACTACACTCGACTTCTTTAAATTAGATATAAAAAACAAACATCAAACACAATAATTACTGAGGCTTACCATTCGAGATGCAGCTCCTGAAAGGTATCAAGTAAGGCCAGTATCGCTTCAGAGTTTTCAACCTTTACGCATCAAGCAAGGTGAAAAACAAAAACGTTGACATCCGAAATCGGATTCCCGACTTTGACAAGTGATGTATTAATTTCTCAACCAAAACCAACTAACCATGAATAACAGAAGGCTCCTGATAGCAGCTAAATTTCATTTTGTGCATCCAGTGAAAAAAAGACAGTTAAAAAACATCACAAGTTGACACAAAACTCTCTCAGCTTCAGCTGTCAAAGTAAACAAGATTCAAGATGCTGCATAAATTTTCCGCATGAGCTCACCTGTCAAATTTTGACCAATAAGAGCATAAAAATGGACGTAGAGCGTGACCAACGCGTGACCATGGTGAGCAAAGTCAAAAGCAACTGTCTTGCCTGTGATAGCTGGCTGAATTTTTCGGGTCCGAGGTCAGTTTTAAATCAAAATTTTAATTGTGCGGCCCAAAAACAAAACATTTTCATATGAATGAAAAAAAAATCAAACTTGAGCCTGCGATCATTTGAAAACTAGAAACTTGTCAGCGGATAACAAAAAAAATACTTGACCTCGATGGGTTAACACCTGAGCCCGCGATACGGTCAAGTGATACTGGTCAGCGGATACCCTGTTTTGACAGCTGTCAATTGATCAAAACATTGATGTCTAATGGATGTGTGCATTATCAGTTTTCCTGTGCTCACAAACTAGCTAGAAAGTATGAGATTGAATATTGATCGCGATCTAGTAAAACAACTGGTCAGCGGACAGCTTCCAAATAACTCACGTCACCTTGATGAGTTGACACATGAGCCCCCGATATGGCAATGTGATACTGGTCAGTGGCTATCCTGTTTTGACAGCTGTCAATTGACCATATCGTGAATGGCCAATGTAAAAGATGTGGATTTGCTAAGACACGCCTGAGACACCCCTCCCTTCCTTTTGATAGTCTCCCCTACCCTACCCGTACAATCTGTAGACGCGTACGTACGTACGTACGTACGTACGCTCGGTCAGTCACGTGACAACCAAAAGAAAAGAGGTTGACCATATTCCATGAGTATGGGGCTCTGTCCCACGCGCGCTTCGCGCGCGAGGGAGCCCCGCTATGAAAGCTTAGAGACAGACATTAGTCTGTAATCCAGAAATCGATTGATGCGAATTTTCATTCGCATCAGTCGATTTGGCGGAAAATTCCCCGCCAAAATTTCCCCTGAGACCCTGACTCGTCCTCAATCTTCTCTTATCATTTGTAAGCGGTCACGAGAGAACAGAAACCTTTAGCATCAGGTTTTTCATGGCAAACCGCAAACCTGGGAATGTCATGTGACCACGGTCTTGCTGTCGCGTTTGCCGTTTGGAGTTCACGTTTGAACGACAGGAAGGGCTTGCAGCGATAAGTGACTTACGGCAAGGTTTTTTTTGCCTCTTAAAATTGTACAGCCTTACGTTTAAGGGCACGAATCAGATTTCTATATCCACCTGTAGTGTGCTACTTAGATTTTATGTTTTTGAGCGAAAAAAGCAAAGAACTTCGAATTTACGAAAAACAACATGGCGGCACTAAACAATGAACGCCTTGCTTAAATTTGTAATCCCGGCAACGTGAAACTGCAAACTGAAAAACCTAATGCTAAAGGTCTCTAATATTACGGCATCTCCCCAAAGCAAAGTCATATGATGGCAAGAAAGACAGTGAAACCTCTATTAAGCGGATACCCTCTAAGCCGAGTCCCGAAATTAACTTATATTGCCCTTTATAACGAACCCCCTATTCAGTGGACACCTCTATTAAGCGGACACGGTCACTAAAATAAGTTGTATTTGGCTAATTTCTATTGTTAAAAACCTCTATTAAGCGGACACCGGACTAAATTGACAATAGTAGTATTGGGTTACGTCCTTGAAATACGTACTGAAGTCAGTTGATGTTTTTGCATTTACAAACAAATTAAAGTTGGTAATGAAAGGTAATGAACTTGAACTCTGGATAGCTTCTTTAACAACATGCAACTTTATCACAGTACAGATTAACCGTTGAATGTTGATCGTTAACAAACATTGCGCAACTTTTACAACCTCTATTAGGCGGATACTTGAGAAAGTCCCGATGGTGTCCGCTTAAAAGAGGTTTCATTGTATTAAATTGGAAAATATTTGGCTATTTCTCTCTACACTTTCGTTGGGTAATTCATCGACCAGTAAAAATAGCCATAGGAAATGGATCCGAGAAGAGCTACACGTATTCTTTAGCCCTTCATCCTGTTCTTTCAAAAGGCGTACCTTACGCTCGCCTCCCAGCAATGCGGCCCGCGGGTTCGAATCCTGGCGTCGACGCCATATGTAGGTTGAGTTTGTTGTTGGTTCTCTCCCTTTCTCCGAGAGGTTTTTCTCCGGGTTCTTCGGTTCCCTCCTCTCCTTTAAAACCAACACTTTCAAATTCCAATTCGATCTGGAACGCAAGGACTTGTTTCAACGAGTTCTTAACAACTTCCAGGTGTTCCGTGGGTAAACAAATTACACCGAAAAATTGGCCCCAGTTGTTGAAATGTTAGCGCTGTCTAGCGGATAAATCCCTATATCCAGAGGAAAAGTATAGTTTGGAAGCAGACGATTTCTCACTGCTGACCAGAATGATCAGCCCAATTGCGTTATACAGTGGATAGAGATTTATCCAGTGGATAACGATTGAACTAACATGCTTGTGCCTATGTTATCGTTACACTGTATGGCGTTACATTTTTTTCCAAGAAACCACGGCCCGGAGTTGACCGTAGGTTGGATGTTATAGCCCGCAGGGGTCACCAACGTGGGTATAATAGTCCCGATTTATATCTCAGTTTTATCTAGGTTTTGAGTTCTGCATCGCAGGATATAGGTTTACGATTCATTTTTTTCAAGTCTGCGTAAAAAGGACATAATTTTCTGTTTTTAGACACCCCTTAGCTTTGTGCCTTATAACTTGTGATAAAGAATGCAACTGAATACCGCCAGTATATAGTCCCGGCCGGACTAAAAGTTTTATCTAGGGTTTGAGACTGAGAAACCTTCTGCTTCCCCGCAGGATACAATATAGATTTGCAACTCGTTTTTTCAATCAGTGTTAAAAGGACGCCCCTTATGTGTCTTGTAGTAAAGAATGCAGCACGTTTTTCTTGGATACTTTTCAGTGGTGATTCTTATTAGACGATGAAGTATATAAATGAATCGATAAGAAATCGCAGTTGACAACATGACTCGTGAGAAACCTTATATGTTTTACTAAACTTCTGTTTATAGTTAAAGAATTTAGTTACAGTTTACATTGTCACATATTCCTTTAGTATAAAGTTTTTGCAATTTGAGTTACATTTCACGTTAGAAAGTTATTGCATTTTATGTTAAAGTTGTTACATTACGATTTAATGTTACATTTTGCTTCACGTGTTGTTACATTTCTCGTTAAGGTTACATTTTGAGCCATAAACTTGGTCTCTTCCCACCCCGCCCCCCTCCCCCACCGACTGTAACGACCAGTCCAAACTTAGTGAGTTAGGTTCTTGAAACGTTCGACGTCTGGCTCAGTTAAGTTCGTTTGAATGAGTTTAGATCGCCCAACACGTTCTATCCGTCTGCTTTCAATTTTTGATTCCGTAAATATCTGAACAATGTCAGCGTAATTTTAATTTCGGACTGGATCTTGTCGAAACGTTTTTATATCAAATCGACTGATGTATCTATATGCCCACTGAGTAACCTTTATTAAGATACATTAGTGCGAAAAAATGAGAACTCGTTCAAAGAAGGGGCTTTGTTCTTGGACACACACTTCAATATTTTGTGTGAGTTTACAAACAAGCAATTAATATTAAGTGACAACTGGGACGAAAAGGAATTCTGAATTTCATCCTCTTCATCAGTATCTCGTTTATGCTCATGTGTCGCTCAGTTTCAAGAGAGAAATGCAGTGCATTGAAAATTATCTATAAAGTCAAAATTGTAATTTTTCTTTTTTAGGTGGCACTTAATCATTTTGCCCATGTTACTTTGGTGATTTTGATTGCCTTGTTTTGTTTTTGATCATAAATTATCTTTTCAGAAAAAATGCAAGATCTACGAGAAGCAAACTCGCCAGGGCGAACCTCAGAATTAGAAAGACAGTTGAGGAATTTTCAGCAACGTGAAGAAAACTTCCAGAGACAGTTACGGGAGATGCAGGAACGCGAACAGAATTTACAACGGCAGCTCAGAGTTGTTCAAGAACGGGATCAGTACTCTCAAAGCCAGCTAACGGAGTTTCGTCAACGTGAACAAAATATGCAGCGGCTGGTGAGAGAGCTACGGGAAGGAGAACAAAATTCTCAAAGGCAGTTGACGGAGTTGCAGCGGCAGCTGAGGGAGATAGGACAACAGTTGACCAATTCCCGAGGACAAGTTTCTGAACTACAGTTAAGTCTTTCAACAGCTCAGCAAACAATAAATCAATTGCGTAACCAGGGAGCACGTGACTGGGTTATTCCCCGCGACGAAATTCAAATCACAGAAAAATGCCTTGGGAGGGGAGGATGGGGAAGTGTCAATGAGGGAACGTATTGTGGCTGTACTGTCGCAGTGAAAGAAATCTACGAGTTGATTCTCTCCCCTCATAACATACGTCTTTTTGAGAGAGAAATGAATATTGCATCCAAGTGTCGCCATCCTCACTTACTACAGTTTATCGGCGCCACAGTTGACGAGGGAAGTCCTCTGTTTGTCACCGAGTTGATGGAGAAAAGTTTGCGGACTCTGTTAGAACAGCGGCTACTGTCCGAAAGAGAAATACGCATCATTTCTTTGGATGTAGCCCGCGCACTGAACTATCTTCACCAGAAGAAACCAGAACCCATCATTCACCGGGATGTCAGTAGTGCCAATGTGTTGCTATGGCGACAGGGTGACCAATGGAGGGCCAAAGTGTCAGATTATGGCACTGCTAATTTCATGCAGCAGACCATGACAGTGGCTCCTGGAGCTATGATTTACAGCGCACCTGAAGCACTTACATCAAACCAAACAGTCAAGGTTAGTTTAAGTGAACATTCAAGACTTTTTACTTACTAAAACTGTACAGCAAGGCTAACAGTGGCAGAAGTGAAAGTGACCTTTGTCCTTTCGCCCTCTTGTCCTGTCCAAAAACACTTCAACATTCTTGAATTAAAAATGACCGTATCTTTGTCAGGAGTCTTTGCACCTTGTTCGGCACTTTTTCCACTCTTTTATGTTCTTCTCAATGAATTTTGTCCACGTAACTGGATTTGTTAATTTATCCCTTCTTTTCTCTAAAGACAACAGTTAGAGGATTGCAAAAGTTAGTATTTTTAGAAGCAAAACAATAAAGCCAAGAACTTACCTTGAAGGCTTTTAAGGATCTTCTCTTTTCTAGGCTTTTCTTATCAGTTATCGATGATCATCTATTTGGTTTGAATTCTCGAGATTCTCCCTCTGGTGTTACTTTAACTCTTTTTGTAATCAGTATACCAATAATGAGTAATGTAAATAAAGAATACTGTGGCATAAAGTCATGTATTATGATTGTTTTTAGGTTGATGTCTACAGCTTTGGTGCTCTTCTCTGTGAAATGTGCATCCGGGAACTGCCAGATCCTACAAGGCGAGAAGAACAAGTCGTGCTGGTAACGAACGCTGTGTTTCGCGGCCTGGTACGGCGATGCCTGCAGAGAGAGCGTGGGACGAGACCAACCATGCACGGAATAATCGATGAACTGGAAGATGCCAATGTATCATCTTAATTGTAGAACCAACGCTACACCATATCATTGATAATTCCTGGTAATGTGTGCCCTTAGCTTGTTCCAGTCGTCCAGATAGTGGGGAGTGGCGCGCGCTTTTATTTGCGTATTCCCACTATCTGAATGCCTGTGCTCTGAAAATTGAAGAGGGCCCGGTGCTCTGAACCTGTGAAGATTGTGAAATCCAGGGTACCCAGGATTTGATTTATGTGAAAAAAATACTTCCTTTATACCCAAGTGCAAGATTAAGGCACCAGGCACTACCGGGCACTGGCAGAGAAAGCCCTGACTGGGCATTTACTGGTAAAAATAGCAGCTTCTGCTTGAAGATTTAGTATGGCCGGATTTTCTGATATGAATAAGTGTGTGTATGATCGTTAGAGTAACAAAAATGAAAAATGATAGCTTTGTTTTTACATAATTATGCAATACATTACTTACAAAATATATTTTTACATTTATTCAGATATTGCTTTCTTATGCCGGAACTTATGAAGGTCATACAGCCGAAGTAGACCGCAATATAAATCAAAGATAGGAGTAGATAATGTAGTCTGCGTCGCAGACGTAATCTTAATTCGGTTTATAATTTAGTAGTAACTTTCTTGTTCTGGGCCCTCAACGGACTGAAAGAATTACCGGAAATGCGTTTTGATTTTCTCCTCCATCTGATTTACAAATTAATAATGGTTTTTTTCAGTGGGTAACTGGCCAATCATAGCGCGTCCTCAAATCTTGATACACAGGTGGGGGCCCTGATTGAACAAGGGTTTCGGCGCTGTTTTGCAGACGAACTTAACAAGAGGCTTTAGTTCCACCGTCTGTGGCGCAGGCTATAGATATGGCGCTTATTACAAGTTGTAGAATGCACAATTAAACACGCGTAGTGGTTAGCAGTTACGGTAGACTCAAAGAAGACATTTATATTTGAGTTCAAACAGGGTGTACTTTAATTCCAATGAAGTAGGCTGTAGACGTGAAATAGACTAACTTGACTGAAGATACCAGTAGACATGTCGCTTGTAACAAGTTTTAGGACATTGAATTAAATACTTCCAATATTAATTAGCAATAACGGCTGACATTTGTATGTAGAGTTTCCTATACTGGCTATACGTAACGTACTTATAAAGGGGGATTCGTTCCTTAATTCCTGTGTTACATACTTATGAAGTAGGTCACAGATCAATATAGACGTGAAATAGCCGACTAAATTGACTGAAGATACTAGTAGATATGTCGCTTATAAAAAGTCAGTGGATATACCACTGAATCCGCGTGTAGCTGAGTGGGTCACCTGCTTATGAGGTCATACAAATGAAATAGGCCATGTTAAATATACAATATTGAGTGAAGACACAAGTATATGTTGGCGTATGAAACGTTTTGGCGTTTACGATTAAACGTGCGAGTTAGAAAGCAATTGTGATCAGTTAGAGTTTGCTACGTAATGGGTTATTTGAAAAATCGAATGCTCAGCAATTCCTTATTACTTACTTATAAAGTACGTCATTCACGTCGAATAGACAATATTCAATAATAGGAGAAACGAGTAGATGTGTCGCTTATATTTGATGTACTATTAGCGTTTTCTATTCAACGGGTAAGTCGACTTATAGAATAGGATTTTACCCAAATAACTTATTAAGTATACAGTGAGTATAGGTCGTACCCTTAAAATAGACAAATAGAATAGACAACAGAAACGAGTAGATTATCTTGCTTTTTGCAAGTCTTACAGGACATTCAATAATTACACAACTATGGCGGCTTTTAAAGCCGAGGTTTAGGCGATTTCTGTCTTGTTGAGGCTGTTATGATGAGGGTGTGTCTTGTTTCGAGACCACAATGCATTTATTTATGCCAGTAATTCTGATAGGAATGACATCGTAGAGATCATCGTATACAGCTCCGCACAGCTGCTAAACACATCGATCACGCACTGTTTGTCGCAATGCATTTCTTGGAAATTGAAGGGTGTGAGTAAGCGGACTCTCTTATATCTCAGCGCTTGGAGTTAAATCAGGGCATTCAGTTTGAGGTGGACCTAGAGCGAGGAGCATAGAAGCTTCAATCCAACCACAGGCACAGTGCATTTTAAAGAGACAAAGGTAAATTTTTATCTTGTTTGTTCATAAGGCTGCCGTTTGATTTGAGATTCGGCGAAAGAGATCAAGTTTTATTTAAAAAGAAGTATGTTGCCCTGTTTTGGCTCTTGGAATCATAAAGGCGAAATGCTTCCCTTCAAGGCCTTCCAGAGTATGGGAAATCAAGGAGAAAGAGCTTTACACGTAAGAAGGTTTTTTTTTTTACAAATTCGATACCGGTTATACGTCAATGACATAAATCATATATAGCCTGAATTGGTGTAAATGTTTGCAAGACATCTGCTGATACACAGAAAACAGTTCTCGGAAAGAACGATAATGACGTTTATGAATGTAAATATTAACGCAGTTTTGCAAACTTGACAGTGCTTTCTGTTCGATTCTTATTTTTTCTAAGGTTCAATCTTTTCTTTCTTTTAATGGTCGTTGTGCGTTGTGTTTTGGCAAGACTCGGCATATTGCTAGTACGTAAAAGTGGAAGTGTTTTTGCCGAACGTGTTTTCTTTCTCATTTCATCAAGACAGAAAAAAAATCGCCTTTAAGAATTTGAGAACAAAGTTAAAAGCAACACTTTGATCTTTGCAAACTAAGAAACAGTTTTGAAACAGTCTAGCCTATCTCCCGCCTATGCAAAATACGTAGCCTTTGTTTACTAAGGAAATCCCGAAGACAATGCGGAAGTTTACCCGTTTCTAAGAATTGTGTGGTCGAACAGTGGATTAAGTTTGAAGGTGGAAATATCACGGTGAGGATAAAAGTTACCGGTAGTCTTCAGTGACTAAAACACTGCGAGTCTGCAGTTAATAATTGGACTAACTTGTAAATAATTGTTAAGTGAAAAAACTGGTACATTTAACTTGAGTTTTTTTTAATGAATGTCGCTTGGTTTAGCTTGATGTGGAGAGCGCATGTGTCGACAAAAACGAAGGGCGCTGAAGATTGCAAAGAGTTTTTACTGACAGAACCAACTAAACGATGTTAAGCATGTTGCGGCAGCGTCTACTTGTACTTCTTCTTGTACTGTATCTCACATCAATCCAACCTAATGCTAATGAGAAAAGAACTTTTGACAGCGCAACTGTCTGAAACCGTGTTTATCATATGTAAATCTGATGGTCTCAAGTTTTTCGATTCAGACCTGTTTCTGAAAATTAATGGTTGTTCAAATGCCTAAGGAGTGAGCTTTAAAAAACGTTCGGACCTGTACATGTTGACTTGGGACAGAACCTTGCAGGAGATTGGTAACGATGAAAACTTTGCTATTCCTTTTTGGGAAAGTAAAATACAAAGTGAGCCAGCTATTTGTTCTGAAGAGCTTCTTAGTGTAACAAACCAAGCTGATGGAACTAGAAGGGCAAATACTTTAACAACTGGTACGTCATTGCAGCAGTGAAGAAAAGACAAAGATGTATGACCAAACCAACAGGAAATCTGGTTTGGAACGGATCACTGAGAAGGAAATGGAAGAAAAAGTATGAAAACAGAGATATACAATGACATTTCCAACCAAAGAAGAAGTCAACTTTGCTCTCCGGTTTGAAAACTTTGACCTGCCAAACTATGGCAAAGAGTCAAGCTGCAATTTTAAAAACATCCTAGAAGGCTACGCGAGTACAAAGACCGGTTATCGTTTGCCAAATGTCCACACCTTACATACCCAGGTTCACATAGTCGTGGGTGGAGCCATGGGGGATGTACTTTCAGCTTCAAACGATCCGATCTTTCCTCTTCATCATTTCTTTGTAGACCGTATTTATGAGAAATGGCTTCGCAAGTTCAACAAGAACGCTTCGGTTCTTTCAACCGAAAATTCACCCATAGGACACAACAAAGATGACGTCATTGTACCACTTTATCCTGTGTATACTCATCAACAGATGTTTAAGAAGTCTTTCGGGTTTGGTTATGACTACGACGATGTCGACGAGAATGGTAAGTACAAATGAAGGTTCTACATGACCTTCCTTTACTTCTTCCTTTACCTTGAATACGATTTAGTGTAATTGTAGAGAAGCCTTTAAAGGTAAAATACATTTTATGTCACTCCAACCCCGCGGTACGGACACCCATCGTTAATTACGGACAGTTTTTTTTATTTTCTTTATTTTTGCTACATATTATTATACCTTTGAAGAAACTGAAAACGTTACCTTTTTCCCTAATGTGTTCTATTTGTTAATTCACGCTTATTCAGGATAACGTTACGTAGAATCAAACAGACCCTAGTCCAGCTTAGGTTGCGTAGCAGGCGCCCATTGCCTCCAAGCGCCCTCTGTACAGGCTACATTTAGCGTGCATTTGTATGGTTTCTTTTATTAATTCAGACCACGTGATGTTCTCCACGGAATTTGCCCTTTGTCCTTTCATAAATTATGCATACTTATGCACGTGGATGCATAGAAAAACCTCTCGAAGCAAAGGAGAGAACTAACAACAAACTTAACTCACAAATGGCGTCGACACCGGGATTTGGACCCGGGTCACATTGGTGGGAGAGGAGTGATCTCACCACTGCGCGGGAAGAGAAAATTACATAAGAGTAGGGCTGAGAATATTCAAAACAGAGAGCTAAGCTGAGCTGAGCGGGGTAGAGTAGAGTAGAACACAAAAGAAGTGCAGTTAGCCTTCAGTTAATCAAAAATACAGTGTATAGGGTTCTGTTAGCTCAGCCCTGGATATATTGCGTCACCGTGGACTCCTCAAGTGTATCACTGCGATATTTTGATCGTCCTAAAATGTCGAGCAAACTGTGTGTCCCCTTGAATAATTTAAGGCAGCATAGTTCTATCAATATAACCTCCCGCCCCTCGATACCTGTAAAGGTCATTATGTGTATCATATTACCCTTTCTGTGTTGACCAGTACAGCATTTCATCCCATATGAGAAAGAGAATGCGATTTGAAATCAGATTTGCGCTTCTCTTTGGAAGAGTCGAGTTTTTAATACTAGACTCCATTTCAGCCCCAAATAAAGTAGACCATTTAGGCAAGACAGGATTACCGGGGTACCTTAAGGATAGCATAGTTTATCAACTAAGAACTGAGTTTTAGACGGAATCCACCAGAAAATTGAGTAATTTTAATTTTCAGTGGAGCGACACAAATCGCCTGAACTGTAAGTGTCGTGGAGAGTCCCATACAATTTACTGTGACGTTGTTACAGTAAATTGTATTGGACTTTTGGAGCACCTCAGGCCGTATCCGAACGAGGCGTTATAATCCTTTTCTTATGACACGGATTTGCAATACAAATGCGTTTACCGGTCTATATTGTCATCAAGTTGTAAAAAATGTGTCTCAATTTAATTTTCGCGAGAACAATGAGGCTTGTGATTATTTACTGCCGACTGGTTCGCAGCAGCACGCACTTTGGGAAACGAGATAATTTAAAACTATTTGACTTGTTAATAACGGTGAAGACTCTAGTTGGAGGAAAATAGTCTTAGTTTGCACGTACTAATTAGTTGAATTAGTACTTAATTTAGATTAATAGCTTTTGCAATGCTGTAATTCCTTTATGGTCATGCAAATAAAGCTTTTGGTGTTGTTGTTGTTGTTAGTTTATTGTTCTACAGTCAATCCAAATCTTTTGTTCAGGTCTTAAAAGCAAAAACGAAATTTATGAAATTTGCAATTGTTTTATGATGATATTGAAGAAAAAAGAGAATTTTTTAGATACAAGAGACAATTCTTGCAAGTTTCGATATTTTCGTTTCTTGGCTTTACAAAATTTGCAAAATTTACAATTAAAACAACCACTGAATTGGTTAAATTATACTCTTTAAATACTGAGAACAAAGAACACCATATGTTAAGAGTAAAGATGTTAACCAAAATAATTACGGCAATCTTTTTTTCAGTTTATTCAGTTGGCGGAAGATCAACATATTCTAATTATTTCCTATTTGTCTTTTTTGCGGATTCCCTGGACATGCTCCTGTGTAGAAAAAATGTGGAAAACTAAAATCTCAGAGTCGCAATTTCCGGCTTTCTGAGAATTGAATAAATTGATGTTAAGGTCAATTTTCATTAATATTTTTTCCGTGGGCAAATTCTCGCTTTCGTTGTTACAATGAAGTCTTTTCTTCTATTATAACTGTCAAGAAGGGACTTCAAGAGTCGTTTTAAGTTGATCGTAGAGCGACTGGCCTTATAAGTGGTGGGAAAACGCTGGTATTAAAGTGAAATTGACTTTTTATATGTATTCTGCGTAATTCCACTTTAAGGGAAACTAAGAAATATTCAAATTATTAAAAAAAATTAATACCCGGCATGAAACACACAAGCTTCTTATCATTGTAGACAACATAAGCAAGGAAAAAGCACGTTTTAAAAGACAAAAGAAAAAGAACTTGAAATAACTAGGGGGAAGGGGATGTATGGGTATCGCCTCGTAGCGGAGTAAACTTGTAGTTTGTGGCATCACTCAAGGGGTTCAGGACTGAACTCCACTATTTTGTGCTTCCATGCTAAAAATAAAAAGAATGTTTGAGAATGGTAAGGGGTCAAATAAAACCATACCGTGACTGGTCTACTTTAGATGTTCAACAAGCAACTCCCCCTTTTCACATGGCAGTCCACTGTAAGTTTCCTCTTTCCCAGTCAGGTGAGTTGGACACATGGCTTTTTTAGATTGATCAGTTTGTCTCGCTAAGGGATGCATTTTACTTTTAATGGTCAGCTTAAAGGGGAAAAGTTTATCTGGAGGGTTTTTCCTTCTTCTATTTCTTTCTTTTTTTTTTGCATTAATTTTTCAGACAATTGAGCCTGTTTTTTTCCAATCGCTCTCCATCCTTCCCTGACACAGTGTAAGCTTCACACACGAGGATATTTAGCCAGTATTTTTTGTTTCGCTTGCACCGTACACCATTTACACCGTGACTTAAGCGAAACGAGCAAACTACAAAACAGAATACCTGCATTTAGTAAGCCTGGTCTGACAGGTTAAAGAGGATCACTGACCCCAGACGTGACATCACGCGTTTTAAAAATGAAAGAGAAACTGTGGTTGGGTTAATTCCCCGTCCCAGATTATTCTTCAAACCTGTTGGCTGCAGCAGCTTTTTGGTATCTGATCGGTTTTCAGTCACAGAATTTCTTTGGAGTATGATTTCTATGAACCCATTTCTCGTTTCTTGGACCATTGTTTTTTAAAGTTTACTTTAAAAAGTTCTCAATGTTTGAAATATGCCGCGAAGTAAGCGGTGCTATGTCAACTAACATGTAAACTTTGCTCGTGCGCGAAGCATTTAAACACATGCAGGAAAAAAGTCACTTTGAATGTGCATTTTGTTGATCTAGTCTGAGTTTTCACAAAATGGTAAATAAAAACAAACGAAATAAAATGAAAAACGCCTCAGCGCACGAATCCAGTCACCGTCCTTGCGGCAGCTGCGATTTTCAGTAGGATGAGAGCCTGGGGACGAGGTGCACTTCCAATAAACAAAATGGATTGACTCAGTTGGGTCAGTCAGTTGGGTTATACACAGCTTTGTGTTGTACTTGGTACCGCCTCATTACGCGGTAAGAAGGATGGAGAAGGAGTGCTACAACTTTGGTATCGTGCTAGGTTCAACGATTGCCGCATTTTATATGCCAGTAGGACAGCGGGGCATGAAGAGATGGTACGTAAGTTATTGATGTTTTTCCCCTTTCACTTCCAAGAGTGCACTGACAAAATCAGCAAAATCAACAACAAAGAAGTCGAAATTTCATTTCGTCCAATACTGAAAACAAATGGTGCTATGTAAGAGTGGACTGATAAAGGGGTTTAGTCCAGGGGTTCAGGAGTAAGAACTAAATTTAATGGATCCATAATTGACCCCGGTAGTGAAAAGGTTTTAAATATATAATTTAACAATACAATTATAATAAACTGGTTCACGACTTTAGGGGTAGTGCGGCATCGTTTTATTACTACAGCTCTGTTTCGTGCGGCCAAAAGACGACCACACTCATCAGGTAATATCAACGACTGACCGTTAGATTACAACAACTGGCAAAAAAGGCGGAAATAAGGTTGCTATGAGATATAAAAACAGCGTTATGTTATCATATAAACCATGTGATTGCTGTTTATGATTTAAGAGATTGTGTTACTTTATCATAAAGTTCTGTGATGAGGTATAGTAAAACCTCTATTAAGCCCCAGGGGGGTTACTTCCTTATAAGAGGCTAATGGGAATGTGCCTCTGGATGGGGTCGGATTTTCACGACTGGATTGACTATAATGGGGTCGCATTTTCAATAGAGTTACTAGAATGGAGTCGCACACATTCGGATTTTTTGGGGTAAGACAGTTCTTCATATTTATGGTTAGCATGCAAGCGTACCAGAATGTTTGTACTGTAGGTGAAAAGTTAAGTGTTCTTCATTCAGTTGAAAAAATTGTTCAATGAATAAAAATAGAATTCAAAGTGACTAAGTTGGGATCGCGAAAACTACATATTTGCCAAAAGGTGACAATTGGTCACAGAATAGAATATAATGGGTTAGGGGCTTTGAGAGGCCAGCGGCACACACCCAGCAAAAATCAGCCCAAGTACCCCCTCCCCCCGTTATTAAGCGGACACCTTCGGGACCTTCCCAAGTGTCCTCTTTTTATAGAGGTTTGTAAAAGTTGCGCAATGTTTGTTAACGATTAATTAACATTTAACGGTTACTCTGTACTGTGATTAAGCCATGCCGTTGAGGAAACTAAGGAACTGAAGCTAAGGAAGCTGTGCTGTACTTTGCCCAAGACTTTTAGTTGAACTTTGATCGCGGATGACGATTATACTGCCGCAAAATAATATAATATACAGTTTATCGACCTCTAAATGTATTGATGTATCTCTATTAATCGACTACACTACGTATTTCAAGGAAGTAATCCAATACTACCTCTCCTTACTTTTTTCAGTTTGTAATTATGCCTGAAACTACAATGAAGGTCACCAAGGATACA